TGGCCTCCTCTCAGGTGTGTGCACGGCTTCCCCTCTCGCGGGGCCGCAGCCATGGGACCCTCTCTTGGCACAGATGGATCCTTCTTGTCCTACCACCTTGGCTCAAACGTCCCTTCCGTGTCACCCAAGCCAGAGAGCCACTGCGGAGAGTTACTGTCCATCACACAGTTTTTTCGTTTCTTTCTCACCTGTTGGCCCTTCCTCCCTGGGTCCCGGCTCTGCTGGTGCGTAAAGTCATAACCCTGACCTGCAGCTGTTCTCGGGCCGCTCCCGCTCCAATACCCCGGAAGCGTGCGGGGCCTCCCACGCGCCTCGCGGACCGTCCGCGCGGGGGCCCACCAACCGCGCCGTCGCCCCTTTAAGGGCCAGGCTCGGGCGCACGCGCAGTCGGGCCGTTGCGCGCACAGGCGCAGTGGGGCGGCGGATGTTTACGGCGGCGGCGGTCGGGCGGCGCAGCCGGGCAGCGGACGGGCGAGGGGCGCCGGAGGAGCGGCAGGTCGCGGCCTAGGCAGCCCGATCTCGCGGGCCGGCCGAGCCCGGAGGTAGAGCCGCCCCCGACCCCGCCGCCGCCCTCGGCCCGGCCTGTGGCGGGCGACGGCGTCGCCTCCCCCACCACCCCTCCCTCCTCTCTGTCCTCCCCCCGTCCCCCGGTCCCGAGCGCCTGGACCCCTCCTCCGGGGGCCGTCCCCTCCGTTCCGGCGCCCCTCCGGCCTCTCCCCGCCTCCGCCCAGTTCCCGGGCGTCTAGCTCCCCTCCCCCCACCGGCGTTCCCCAGCCCCCTCCCCCGCGTCTGCCCTCCCCGTCCCCGGGTTCCCCCTCCTGCGTCTCCCCACGTCCCCCAACCCTTCCAGGGCGCGTGTCCTCTGGAGCGCGGCCGCGTCCCCTGCCGCGCTCCGGGGGTGTGTCGCGGGGGGACGTCCTGGTTTGCCCTCCGGCTCCCCGGGGCCCCCGCGGCCTCTCCCGGTGCCCGTCGCTGGCGCCCCTGGTCGTGCTGGAGAGACGCGCGGCCCGCGCCGGGCGTGCCGAGCGGGAGACGTTTGCGGGGAGTAGCGCGGCGAGTGCAGGCGGGTCCGCGTTCGGAACAAATGATCTCGGACCTTTTCCGAAGGCGACAGTCTGGGTGCACCCGCGGGCGCAGCCGGTGGAAGCTGCCCTTGTCGGTCTTGGGTTGCGAGTTCGGGGCCCGTCTTGGGTGTAGGGAGGACGGAACATTCACTCTCCAGGGCAGAACCATAGGGACAGTTGTTGCCCTTCCGACTGAGAATTGGCTCAGAACCCCGGGACGCCAGGCCCCTGGAGAAGGTGGGTGGTTGGGGAAGGAGAGCTTGGCTGGGCTTGGTGCCGGCGCTTCGGATTTCTCCGTGCTGACGTGTGCTCCAGCGTTGCCCCTCGGAAAAGTGACCCAAATCTCTGCCTGTCCCCTTTGTTCATCACTAGCCTGTCGTGGTTTTCTTCTTTCTTTTCGGCAGGGCAGTGGCCGAAGTGAACGGCTGCGTTTTGGGTGTCGAGTAGACAGTCAAGAATTGGTGAAGTCAGGTTCCTGCAGACAGCTCAGAACTTGGGGCTGTGCTCGGGTGAAGTAGAGCTTTAGAGGTGGAATGAGAGGGGACCTCTGAGGGGATGGGGTCCGAGCCTAGGCCTCCTGGCCCCCACCTCAGCTTGTACCTAACCTGGGCCATCCCCTGGGGAGACAGGCTGTGGAGGTTCTAAGAAAGTTCAGTATTTGGAATTCTAGTTGTTAGAAAGCTCTTCTGTGTCGAGTAGAAATAATCTTCATCTAACGTGTTCCACGGATCCAGCTTCTATCAGCTCCAGGAATGGTGTATACAAGGCAGCCTTTCAAGTGTTTGAAAAACATCCCTCTCTATGAGTTTTCACGGCAAGTCTCTGTTTCTTTTAATTCTTCTGCCAGCAGGAGGTGTGGCTTTGGTTCTGTTTTCTGCTGGTCTCAGGCCTCTGCAGTTACTCTAATCCAAGACAGCTTTCAGCAACACCCGGCAGGAAATGGAAAGAAGAGTAGCGGGTTATTACCTACAGAACCTGGAAAGTTGACAGCATACCTGGGGTCCCACAGTGAGGTGGGGGCCGTGAAGAGAGTTAGGGTTAGTTTCTGCTTGCATCGGGGTTGAGGGTGGAGCCTAGGGCTTCTCAGGCTTCCTTTTTTACTGGGGAATATAAGACAAAAGGGGGAATGTGAAGCATGAGAAGAGAAAAGACAAGTGGCCCAAAAGGTCTGTTACGGAAACCAACTAAAAGCTGATTTCAGACAGAGGCCTGGCGCTTCATGGAGTGGCGGAGGAAAAGTGTTTATTCCTCAGCAATCAAAACTTAAGTCAGGCCCTTGCATTACAAAAAAGGCAAACTTTTCAGGGCTTGCGGGACAGGGTCCCTCCCCCCCAGCTCATTTTCCACATGAAATTACCTTGTCCGTATTTCCCTGAAGGAGTGATACGCGGCTTGGGCCCTGGCCCTCCATGTGTAGTCTGACAAACCCGGTGTTGACTGAAACCGCAAACACCCATGATCGTGGCTTCAGGCTGGTTGACCCAGCTTTAGCCTCCTTGGCTATCAGTCCTGGGACCTTCCCATGGCTGCTGCTGCTCACCTGTCTTCCTCACTGCCCTTTGGCAGTTGGTTTTGGAAGGAGCAGTGTGAGAGTAAGGTTGTCCTGTTGGCCAGTTACCCCAGAGGAGTGAATTATACTGAGGATTGCAAAGTATAATCAAGTACAGCATCCAGAAATTATTTCTCATTATTTCCAACAGTTGGATTTGACTAGATGGTAGAGCCATTATTTGGTTGGGTAAGGGTATCTTTGAATCTGTTGTTGGTGTTTTGGGGTGGTCAGGAGTAAGCGGTGATTGTACGCAGTGTGAGGAGAGGTAGATGAGCAGGCAGAGTTCGTACTCTCAGACCCTGCCAATGGTCACACGCTTCCTCCTGGCGGCAACAGAGAGGGTTACCGCATCGTCACAGTCTGTCATTTGGGGCAAAGATTACCAACATGTTATGTGTTAAAGAATGTTTTTTTCTTTGAGAATTTGAGAATGTAGGCCTTCGGCTAGACGGTCGTGGGTTTGAATTCTAGTCTCTTCATGCACTGGTCTGTAATCAGGAGTAAAATGACTGCTCGGTCCCAGTTTGCCTCACTATGTTGTAAAGCTAACCAGACCCCTGGGACTGGTGGGTGGTGCCTGTAAGATTGTAGCTCTTTTTACTAAAATGCTAGCTTTTGCATGTGAGTAAACTTTCAAAGTGAGGTGAAGTTGGAAGTAAGTGATCGATTACATGGTAGAAAATAAAGTGTACCCAATATAGAGTTAGTGTTTGCTTTCTGAAGGTAGAATGATGGCACTGAGATAGGATGGTAGGACATTACGTAGAGAGTTAGATCCACCATGGAAGATGCGTGGTTTCCAGGCCTTTTCCCACATAGACGTTTGGGCAGCAAGCGCAACTTCACTTTTAAGCAGTGACCTAAATTTTAAGGTGACTGTCCTAGACTAGGGATGTAGACTGTAGGCTCAGAAGTAAGTAGCTTATCGAAGATTAAACTCGACCTCATTAGCAGTTCGTCCAATTGGCTAAGTTAACTGGCCATGGACCATAACCTAGCAAGGGCTCCAGAACATCTTGAAATGGGGTGAAAATCTAATAATTGGGCCATCTTGGTGATTTGGAAAGTATAATGTTCAGGTCTAAGATCTTGATGATGAAGATGAACTGTTCCAACCGTGAAATGTTAGAGCATTTATACGAAGCCCTAGGTTTCACATATTTTGTGTATTTGTTGTGAGAAGCTGAAGATTTATCATGAGTTCATTTACTTTTATTCCTGGGAAAACCTCTCCCACCACAATTGCCAGTAGTGTGCATGGGGTATGTGTATGGAAGCTCTTCCCCCAGGGTTTATGCTTCTTGTTCTGCTGTTTGAAATCCAGAGGATTGTGAGGGGGGAAAGCAAGGATAAACTTTGTAATAATAAATTATAGTATGTCATTATGGAAGTGAATTAGAAAATGTGTCAGTCTTTGTGAAGTCTGGTGTTTTCTGTTTTCCCCAATAGTTTACATCAGGTGTTTTGTAAACTGTTACCATTTTATGTGAAGTAAAATAATTCTTTCAGAAAGAGTTACATGGGGTACCTATAAAATTGGAGAAGATATTTTTATGGTTACGGCCCCTGTGAGTTAGATGGAGGCACATTGTATGTTAGCAGGTGGCTAAGAAGGGATCACACTGTTGCTTTTTCTTCTTGAATGCAGTTAGGAAGAAGGTAAGCAATGTACCTTTTGTTAAAGAGGTAGAAAGGTTGCATTACATACACTTCCAAAGGGGGTGTAGGAGTCCTTGGAGCAGCTGTAGCCTGAAAACAGATTTTGTATTTGTTACAATAAAATATCACCATTCATCCTGTAGTATTTTTGCCTGAAATTTGTACATCCGTATATCCAAGTGAACAGATTGAGTGGGTTCCTTGACTTGATGTGTATGTGGGGGTGTAGAGTTGTCAGGTAAAATTTAGGACAACAGTTAAATTTGAATTTCAAATAAACAGTGAATAACTTTATAGTATTTGTTGTTTACCTTTATTTCCTTTTTTTGCTTTTAAAGGTTTATTTATCAAAAGTGATCTGTATTTAAAGAGAAGTTGGTAGTAGTGTGATTTTTGTAGACATATCTATATTCTTTTTATGCTTAAATCCATTGACTTTGCCATATGTGAATATATCCCTTTTAAGGCAGATCTATATTCAAGATAATTTTAACCCTAAATACCTGACTTTGTAGATTGACTACTTGTCGTAAAATATCGAGTTCCTTCTTAAATGCTGTTTGCAGCTGTCGGATATGTGTTAGGTACCTCAAGTTAATTTGCATGCCTTCGAAATTGTAAATTACAAGCTTCTGGATGGTTATAATGGAATTTCATCTTTGGCTTTTTTTTCTTTCAGAGTTTGGAGGGGGTGGGGTGGGTTAGTTGCAGATCAAATATATTCCATCTGTATATTTTCAGAATTCAGAATTTGAGACTGGCATGTTATTAGAACCCTAACTGGTGTGCTCTGACCTTTAATGTAAATAGCCCTTCAGAAACGTTTGTATTTGCAGCGTGGCCCAAGTGCGATCTGGAAGATGGGAGGTGCGGTGAGTGCTGGTGAGGACAACGATGAGCTGGTGGACAACCTGAAAGAGGCGCAGTACATCCGGACCGCGCCGGTCGAGCAGGCTTTCCGGGCTATCGATCGCGCAGACTATTATCTTGAAGAATTTAAAGAAAACGCTTATAAAGACTTGGCATGGAAGCACGGCAACATCCACCTCTCGGCTCCGTGCATCTATTCGGAAGTGATGGAGGCCCTGGACCTGCAGCCGGGGCTCTCCTTCCTGAACCTGGGCAGTGGCACGGGCTACCTCAGCTCCATGGTGGGGCTCATTCTCGGTGAGTCCGGACAGAGTGCAGCAGAGCACCGTCTGTCTCCTGGTGCCGGGGAAGAGCGTCCGCCGGCAGCGTCTCCTCTGTGGGGCCCTCGTCGGAGTGCCTTCTGAGCAGTCCTCTGCTTTGGTTTATACACAGTCATGGGGTGGGCTGGTGAAAGGAGGGACCCCTCCTGTTCCCGACCCCTCCCACCTGTGCCTCCAGTGTCTGTCCAGCGCACCCTCTTGCACAGCAGAGGACCATGAGAATTGTGTAAATCAGGACCTTACGGTGATTTTTCGTTTACGATACAGTCACCCAGCTTTGTCACTCTGTAAACTGAGACGAAGTTTAAAGTTCCCTGGAAGTTAAAGTTCTTCCAAGAAGTTTTGGTTTGTTTTGTTTTAATGCTCAAAAAGTTAGTACCTGTAAGGTGTTGTTTGTCAGTAAATTCCAGGGATGGGAAGGATTTCACAGGTTTTGCCTCTTTCCCCAAGTAAGACTTGGGGGGACTGCACGTGGCGATGGGCACTTTTGTTCTTGAACGACAGTGTCCAATAATTGAGGGTTTAGGTGTCTGTTTTTACTCTGAGATAGAACCGTTTTGCCAGAGGAGTAATGGGGGCTGACCTGCCCTTTGAAAGATTTCTCTGCAGAGGAAGCGGGGCTGGGGCTGCTGCTGCACTGGCGAGGGAGCGCAGTGTCTGCACCACAGCACGTTACAGAATGTCTCAGCAGGGACAGTTGATTTTGTGGGTATGGAATGAAATTTTGGGTTCTTTATATGTTCATAGACTTTGGAATTTGATGAAGTTTTGAGACTGAACCTTTGACTTCAGGCCACAGATTGCTATCCTCAAATTTTTAAGTTTGTTTTTGTTTTGTTTTTTAAAGTTAAATGCTTTTTGAACTTAATTTGTCTTGGATTAAGACTGCTTTGTGAAGAGCCCAGGTGATGTATCATTCTGGAATTAGTGAAAGGTAATTCAGTTCAGCTGAGAAACTGGGGGAGCTAAGGGTGAGATGGTGTTTGGTGGAGAGTGGGATGGGGTATCAAACTGACTGGGTTAGAAATGCTCTGGAAAGGAACTGAGATGCTCGGTTCTTGTTGTAAGCCTGACTCGGCCTGCTGCACTTGACATGCCCCAGAAATTCTCAACAGCTTCTCTTCTGTGAGTCCCCCGTTTGCTGGGAATGTGATCAGATGTTGGGTGGGGAGAGCTCTAAAGGAAGGGAAGCTTCTTGGGGGTCGCAGTGCGTACTCCATGCTGCTGTGATGCATGTGAAGGAGGGGACCGGAGCGTTTGCTTTCCCGGGTAGACTCCTTTCGCTGGCACGGCCATTGCCTCTGTCTGGACCCCGTGGGTTCCGGTCAGCTCAGCCTTCAGTGTTGCACACCACTTCGGGGCCGAAGACCGTGGTGGCCTCCCAGTGCCCGCAGCCATGAGGTCTGGAGTCTTTCATCCGACTCTTCTCTAGATCCAGCTGCCTTCCTGCCTGGCCCTGAACTTTATCCCTTTGCTGCTGCACTTGTGTGCAGGGGACCTGAAGGTGCTGTGTGATGAGGGAGTGGGAAGCCCTTCTGCAGGGATGGGAGGGCTTTTGGGCTGGCTTCAGTGCCATGCCCTTGATGTCTCAGTCCTTACTCCTCCCATGCCCTCCGTCCCCTTAGTCAGCTTTTTATTGGGCTGAGTCGGGGGCTCTGTGTTACTGCTCTGTTTGGTGTTAAGCTCCTTGGGGTTAGGAACTATGTCCTATATCTGTTATGAGAATGAAGTGCTTAATAGGTTTTGATAAAGGATGAGGGGCTAATGAAACTATGATGCGTGGGAAAGTAAAGGTTTTCTTGGTGTCTGGCGCGTGCTCCTAGCCAGAGGGCGGTGGGGAGGGAAGTTGGTGATTTGGCAGAGGGGCTTGAGATTGGACAATTTGAATTTGATGTTGTAATTACTGAAAATGGTTCTCAGGTAGGGTGTGTTTCGATGAGACTCTTTTAGCAGCAGCTGTGCATTTGACAGATGTTGGGAGAGGAGAGCCCCAGGTGAGCTGTCCAGGTGGAGGAGAAGGAAGCCTTGGCTTGGGGTGGGTGTTGTGCTGTCAGGGAACCAGGAAAGCCCAAGTGGCAAAATGTCAAGATACGGGTGCACAGATGGTTGCTTATTTTTCAGTATTTCTGTTGGGCCGTAGGGTTAAATGCTGCATTGTGACTTTGGTATGTCCGTCCAGTAAATACAGTTCTTCATGCCCTGTTGATTTTCCCATGGAGATATTTAAAAATGGCTGTGTAAGTTAACCTACAGTAAATGAACACGTGTGAGGTGTGGAGCTTGGTGAATTTTTGTGTACGTATCCAACTTCGTGCAGGTACTACCTAGAACAAGGTACGGAGTAGACCCAGCGCCACAGAAGCTCTCAAGCTGTCCCTCCCCATCCAGAGAGGAGAGGACCCTTTTGTCCTCCGTCACCATAAATAAGTGTTGCCTGTTTTTGACCTTCATATAAAGAACTCCCAAAACAAAGAGACTCACCCAAGCTGTCTGTGTCAGTAGATCTCATCTAGAGGCAGTTTTATACAGAGGGAATAATACCTTTATTGTTAAGTGGGCTTATAACCTTTCTCACAGCTTTATTTCCAATTACTGATAAATTTCCTTTGATATAAAAAATGTTTCATTGTGGCTTGGTTATAGTTTATTTAAAAAAGATTTTATTTATTCATTTAAGAGAGTGAGAGTGTGTACGCACACGAGTGGGGAACGGGCAGGGGGAGTGGGAGAGAGAGAACCTGCAGCAGACTCCATGCTGAGCACAGAGCCTGACGTGGGGCTCAGTCCCATGACACTGAGATCATAACCTGAGCTGAAATCAAGAGTTGGACACTCAACCAAATGAGCCACTCAGGTGCCCCTGTTACAGTTTTATTTTAATGATGCTCAAAAGCTATTTGTCCCCATGTCTGAGTAGTTGGGGCGACCTCTAGTGGAACACAGTCCTGAGTCCAGTGTCATTTGGAAATAACGTTTTTCTTCTTTAATTCATTAGTAAGATCTTGAATTCTTGGTTGCAGATCTTGGTTTTTTTACATCTTCAAATAATTCTTCAAAGGTTTGAGAGCAGAACAACCCAGGCTTTGGAAAGCTGTGGCGTCGGTAATGTCAAAGAAACAAGTATTTACAGTTATTAATATTTACAGTGTGGTGAGCATAGTCTACCCTGCATATTTAAAGATTTAGCTTGGGTGATTTAGGCCTGGTAATGTGGTAAGACCTCTAAACCTTGCGAATTTCTTCATGTAATTATACATGCTGAATCTGGTGCGTTGCAGTGGATAAAACAGAAATAAAGAGTAAGAGTTCTTGCCCTAGTTCTAAAAATTTTTTTATTCTGGAACATTTTAGGTCCTTTTGGTGTGAACCACGGGGTTGAACTCCATTCGGATGTAATAGAATATGCAAAGCAGAAGCTGGACTTCTTCATTAGAACCAGCGACAGCTTTGACAAGTAAGATCAAATACTACCCTTGGGTTGCTGTGTGAATTATAATTTAAACTTGATTAGATGGGAGACAAAAGCTTATTAGTGTTCATATAACATGATTCAGTTTTGGCAGGAGAATTGGGTGTATGCAAAGCTGTTCTAATTATTTTCTTTTTTTTAAGATTTTATTTATTTATTTATTTGACACAGAGAGAGAGATTACAAGTAGGCAGAGAGGCAGGCAGAGAGAGAGGAAGGGAAGCAGGCTTCCCGCTGAGCAGAGAGCCTGATGTGGGACTCGATCCCAGGACCCTGGGATCATGACCTGAGCTGAAGGCAGAGGCTTTAACCCACTGAGCCACCCAGGCGCCCCTCTAATTATTTTCTTAAATATTTTGTGCTTTTGAGGGCTTTAGGTTTTTTAACTATGACACCAGGGAAAGGTAATTTTTCACCAGTGTAATAGGAGAGGGAAATAGAATGTTCATTTTGCCCAATTTTCACGTTTCCAACACAGATAATAATTTATCACCTAATTCTTAAACAGAATTATTGCATTTGTATTTGAACAGTATATATAATACCTCTTGCCATTTTTAAATAAGGTATTAAAGTTTTTATTTTAGGATTTAACATTTTTAGAAACACCAAATGTAGTTTTCTTTCATTTTATTGGTTTTTATGTTTTATTTTTTTAAAGATTCATTTAGCTGAGAGAGAGGAAGAGAGAGCGAGCGAGCGCATACTTAGGCACATAAGTGCGGGGGGGAGAGGGGCTGAGTGTGGAACCCGAAGCGAATGGGGCTCCATCTCACAACCCTGAGATCGTGACTTGAGCTGAAACCAAGAGTCGGACACTTAACCGACTGAACCACCTGGGTGCCCCTCATTTTGCTTGTTTTTCGTAGATCTTAAATAAGGTAATGATTTATAAAAACAGAGCAAAGACAGTGATGATTGGAAGTTAGATGACAGAAGTCTGTGTTATGTTTGTGACATTCACTTTCATAATATTTTGTTTGGGATTTCTAGGGTTCTGTTTATTAACGATACAATTACTTTGGGGGTCTGACTTGCAGCTTCTAACTCTGTCGGTGGTATTATGTGATTCTAGGGTTGTTCAAGGAAAACGTAACCTGTGGGTAGTATAGATTTACTGTAGAGACTTGCTACAATGTGATATATTCAGTTACGGAAAACATTTTTTGCTTTTAGATTTGACTTCTGTGAACCTTCCTTTGTTACTGGCAATTGCCTGGAGATTTCTCCAGATTGTTCTCAGTACGATCGCGTGTACTGTGGGGCTGGTGTGCAGAAAGAGCATGAAGAGTACATGAAGAGTCTTCTCAAAGTAGGGGGCATCCTTGTCATGCCACTGGAAGAGAAGGTCAGATCCCTCTCATAACTGACACGCTTAACTGTTGGCCAAGGTCTGTTCCAAGAAGTTTCCATGTGTTTTTCCTTGTATGCCTCATGACAGCTCCCTCCGTTTCACAAATTAGGGCACAGGCAGGGACAGGTCATAAAGACAGCCTAGCTTGGGCCAGGGCCTGACTCAGGTAGGCACCCTGGAGCCTGCACTGTGAGCCTCACCTCCCTTGTCTGTCCTCCCCTCTCCCTTCCCCCCCCCCCCCCCACCCCGCCCACAGCTGTTCCAGTATGCTTATTCTAGTGTTAGAATTGTGTGTAAACGTCACGAGAGTCATTCTGTTCTAATTGTTAGATTCTGTGACAGCGAGTATTATACAGGAGTCTTCCTTCAGAGGAATCTTGTCTCTGTCTGCTGTTTGGTCGTGTGTGTGTCTGTCGTAGCTGTTGCGCTTCTTTGAGAAAAACAAGTTGTTATCAACAAGCAGATTAATCAACACTGAGTTGGTCATCAGGGAGAATGTCTCAGTTACAAAGAACTAAGGAAAAATGGAAATGATAAAAATTGGGAGATTATGCATTTTTGTGGGATTTTCTGTAATTTAAAAATGTTAGCATTTAATTTATTTTGTTTAAAAAGGAGTCATTCATTGCTGAACATCCAGAACATACGAAAATGAAGAAAAATTGCTCACAACCCTTACCTTAAACACTGTTGGTGTATGATACTTGTAGTTAGTGCCCTTTTCTAAGGAAGTCATTGCGCGTACTGTTTAGAAGTTACGATGTTTTCCTTAATCGATGAGATAATTTTAAGCCATTTAATACTCTGTGTCATCATGTTGCATGCTTGTATTGTAACCTGTGGAATTGTTGAGCATAGTGTGTCCTCTGGCTCCCGGAATTGCCCACGGGGCTGTCTGTATAACATTCTGTTATTTACTATTATATACAGACTGCAGTGACTATCGCTAAGTAAAATAAAATTTTTATCCATAAATATTTCAAAGTGTATTTATAAAAGATAAGGGCTGTTTTTTTTTTTTTTAAAGATTTAATTTATTTATTTAACAGAGAGAGAGAGAGAGACAGAGATCACAAGTAGGCAGAGAGGCAGGCAGAGAGAGGAGGAAGCAGGCTCTCCGCCGAGCAGAGAGCCCAATGCGGGACTCGATCCCAGGACCCTGAGCTCATGACCTGAGCCGAAGGCAGAGGCTTAACCCACTGAGCCACCCAGGTGCCCCGATAAGGGCTGTTTTTTTTTTTAAGATTTTATTTATTTGACAGAGACCACAAGTAGGCAGAGAGGCAGGCAGAGAGAGAGAGGAGGAAGCAGGCTCCCCGCTGAGCAGAGAGCCCGACGTGGGGCTCGATCCCTAAAAAATCACCAGTAATTTCTTAGTATTTTAAAATTGCCAGCTAGTGTTCAGATTTTTCTGATTATCTCAAAATTTGCTTGAATAGTTTATTTGAAGGGATCTCTATTTAAGATTTTCTTAAAAGTTTTATATATTTATTTGAGAGAGAAAGAGAGAGAGAGAAAGAGAGAGAGAGTGAGAATGGAGAGGTCAGAGGGAGAGTAGACTCCCCGCCGAGCAGGGAGCCCCATGCAGGACTCGATTCTGGGACATGACCCTGGGACTCCAGGGTCGTGACCTGAGCCGAAGGCAGTCGCTCCACCAGCTGAGGCCCCCAGGCGCCCCTTCATTTAAGATTTATATCTTATATTTGGTTGATCTTTCTCTCTCTCCCTCTCTTTATTTTTTGGAAGATTTTATTTTTGAGTAATCTCTGCACCCAGCGTGGGGCTTAAACTCGTGACCCAAGAGCAAGAGTTGCTCCCCTCACCTATCGAGCCAGCCTGGCACCCCCGGCTGATACATCTCCCAAGTGTTTTTATCTAGAGCTCCTCTTTTTTTCTTTTCTTCCCCCCCGCTCCTTTTTCCTTGTAATATACTTGTTGAAGAAAAGAAATCAAGTGATTTGTCTTACAGAGTTTCCTGTAGTCTAGATTTGGAGACTACCTATCTCTGGGGTGATGTTTAACATATTCTTTCTGCTCCTCATTTCATTATAAGTTGTTAGTTGGACCCAAAGACTTGCTTAGTTTCCAGTTGAGGGTGCGAGAGCCTTACCGGCGTTACAGAGCACGCCCGTGGGCAGGCCCGGCACGCCTGCTGTCTCGTTCCCCGACGTCGGCAGTGAGGCTATGGCCTGGACCCATTATCTCAGTAGGGGCTGCGGGACAGTGCATGCTGATCCCGTGACATCTCTTCAGCTGGTACCTTTAACCCTTGCCTTCTCTTTGATTCCAGTGTAGTTAGCGTGCGGTGTTCCGCTAGCGGCCGGTGTGCGGTGCACCGCCCAGTGCTCAGCACCGCATGTACACTCTTTGTCCCCTTCCCCTGTGTCCCCTATCCTCTCTGGTGACCCTGTTTGTTCCTTAGGAGTGTTTTTTGGTTTGTCTCTTTTTTCCCTTTGGTCGGTTACTGTGTTTTCTAAATCCCACATATGAATGAAGTTCTGTGGTATTGGTCTTTCTCTGGCTTATCTGTTTAGCATAATGTGCTCTGGCTCCAGTCATGTCATGGGAAATGGCCAGATTTCATTCTTCTTTATGCCAAGTAATAGTCCATTGTGTGTGTTTATGCCATATCTTTGTCTGTTCGCCTGTCCGCGGACACCTGGGCTGCTTCCGTACCTTGGCCGTTGCGGATTGTGCTGCAGTAAACACGAGGGTGCGATGTCCCTTTGAATTAGGGTTTTCGTATTCTTTGGGGGAAATAATAGTACAGTGCTGGGTTGTAGGGCGGCTCTGTTTTGAACTTTCTGAGGAGCCGCGGTACTGTTCTCCAGAGCGGCTGCACCAGTTTGCATCCCACCAGTGGAGAAGGAGGGTTCTTTTTTCTTGTGTCCTCACCAACGCTTGTTTCCTGTGTTGATTCTTACCTTTCTGACAAGGGTGAGGTGGTGTCTCACTGTGGTTTTTTTTTTTTTTTTTTTAAAGATTTATTTATTTATTTTAGAAAGAGAGAGAGCATGAGTAGGAGGGACAGAGGAGAGGAAGAGAATCTCATGCAGACTCTGTGCTGGGTGTGGAGCCTGATGCGGGGCTCGATCTCACGACCCCGAGACTGTGACCTGAGCGGAGACCAAGAGTTGGGTGCCCAACCAGCTGAGCCCCCCAGGCGCCCCTCATCCTGCTCGTGAGCTGCTTTCCCTGATGATGAGTGACGTGGAGCGTCTTCCCGTGTCTGTGGCCATTTGTATGTCTTCTTCGGAGAAGTATCTGTTCGTGTCTTCTGCCCACTTTTAAATTGGATTATTTGGGTTTTGGGTGTTGAGTTGTGTAAGTTCTTTATGTAATCTAGATACTAACCTTCTGTGGGATGAGTCACTGCAAATATCTTCTCCCATTCTTTTAGTTTGCCGGTTGTCTCCTTTGCTGTGCAGAAGCTTTCTGTTTTGATGTAATCCCAGCAGTTTATTTTTGCTTTTGTCTCCCTTGCCTGAAGGGACCCATCTAGAAAAATGTCACTACGACCAATGTCGGAGACATTACTGCCTATGCACTCTTCTAGGACTTTTATGCATTTAGGTGTCACATTCAGGTCCTTAGTCCGTTTTGTGTCTTTGTGTCATCTTCAGTTTCTTTCATCAGTGTTTTATAAATTTCAGAGTAGAGATGTTTCACCTCTTAAGTTTATTTCTAGATATTTCATTATTTTTGGAGCAGTTATAAGTGGGATTGTTTTCTTAATTTCCCTTTCTGCTGCATCATTAGTGTATAGAAATGCAGTGGATTTCGGCACGTTGATTTTGTATCTTGCGACTTTATAGTTACCTGGAATACTTACATGAAGAGAAACACTCCTACCAGTTACTTGGTTACCCTAGGTACACGTTATAAGGAGAAGGTGGATAAATTCTGATTCTTAAGCTATGTCTATCAGTTTCCTCAGTAATCTGGTTCTCTAGCATTTGTTGAAAGTGGTGACTAGTAAGATTTTATTTGGTTTCTAACGGTGGTGTGAACTCATGAATATAGATGTACTTAAAATTTTAATCATCGTATGATTCTTATTGAAACTTAAAATGTCCCGTCTTGGCCAATAGGCACCTCTCCAGGTTGGCTCTTGGGCTCTGATACACCTTCAGTAGTCTTTGATGGTTTTGTTACTTTCTGGTAAGAAAAGATACTCCACACTCATTTTGTGTATTTTTTACCACAAAGTTGGATTTAACTGTTTCTGAGGATCTCTGTTAATTTTAAGTTCATTGGGAATTGGTGTTTAGAGAACACAGGTGGGGCCTTTGTTGGAATATTTGATACCGGGTTGGTTTTCTTCAGTGGTATTCTGGAGCCAAGAAGTCCCCTTCCCTCCATACGTACTTATGTTTCTGTTGGTTTGGCTTTTGGACACCAGAACACACCATGGGTTTATACTGGTGCTTCCTGCTCAAAGTCAGGACCCGAGGGTTTTCGTGACTTCTGCGCGGTGCTGTGTCCCATGCTGGAGGCTCTCTGATGGCTGAGTTTGCCCTTCTCCTGCGCATGTACACACAAACGTGTTTCAAAGTCCCTGGAGATAACGCTTCCCTGTGTGGTGGTGCTGCTAGCCCGACTTAGAGCTTATTTGTTTGTTTTTAGGGATTGCATTTTATGGTTTATAACTTTGTAAAATATTTATGGGGTTTCAAGATCTAAATAATGAACACTCACCGAATTTTTTTTCCATGTATGTCCTCTCCACTTCACCTGTAGGTAACCACTTTGTTCGTTCTTAGTTTATCTGCGTACTCAAAAAATATACAAGCAAACGTACTTTCTCCATGACTTGACTTCAGTGAAGATAGGCACATTTTTTCCATTCCCTATCTTCATCCAGACATAAGAAATAGGAGCGGATGGTTTTAGGTTTGATATGTGGCTTATTGTTCATTTTATGGGTTTGGTATTTGGTGTAAGTGGAAATTCTTTTCTGTCCCTATGTTGTTTATTTAAAAATATTCTTTCCTGGTGTATGAAAATGTGTTTTTCTGATGGGCACTTGGGTTCTTTCCACCCTTGTGCTGTCTGCAAGCGCTGCTGCTGTGCAGAGGGTGTGCGGGCGCATCTGTGCGTAGTCTCTGCCTTGATCTTCGTCTACACGAAGATTATACACTGTACTTCCAGGTGTAGCCTCAAAAGCAGAAGTGTTGGATCCGAGACTCCGTATTTTAACTTCGGCCGACTGCCTTTCAGGAGAGGAGCCTCCCATGCCCTTGCTGACTCCCACCTGCTTATTGCTGTCATCGTTGTGGATAGCAGGGTGATGTGTCCCCATTTTTGCTCTTCTTTCTCAGAATATTGTTTTAAATATTTTTTATTTATAAAGATTTTATTTATTTATTTTATCAGACAGAGATCCCAAGTAGGCAGAGAGGCAGGCAGAGAGAGAGGGGGAAGCAGGCTCCCTGCTGAGCAGAGAGCCCGATTCGGGGCTCGATCCCAGGACCCTGGGATCATGACCTGAGCCGAAGGCAGAGGCTTTAACCCACGGAGCCACCCAGGTGCCCCCAAATACATCTTTATTTAAATTGCTATTATTTCTTAAAAATATTTAAGAGAGAGAGAGTGCTTGTGCAGGGGGGGTGGGGGTAATGGGGGCCGTGGGAGGAGGGACTGAGAGAGGGAGGCTGCTGGAGCAGACTCTGCTGAGCACCCCCGACCCAGGCTCTCGATCCCACAACCTGAGCTGAAATCAAGAGTCGGCTGCTTAACCGGCTGAGCCCCCCAGGCTCCCCTTTATTTAAAATTACTTTAGTGATCTTTGTTGTAACAGAAAAATACGTCAGTCCTTTTATTGGAATTGTGTTATCTGTATACTGATTTGAGGATTGTAGCGGATTTTCAGTATCCGTCTCCGTGTCTGGACCATGGAATATGGATTTATAGTTTTCCTGAATGGTTCACACATTATTTATCGATTGTATTTAGATATTTGATGTTCATTATAACTAGAAGAAAATGTTTTTAAAAAGAAGTTTTTGCTCGTACATAAGAGTGCGAGTGACTTATTGATGTTTACCTAGTACGTGGCTACTTAATGCTTTCACTTCCAAGGTTCATGATACAGAATCTTAGTTTTTAAGAGGATTTGCTGGCTTGGATATTTTTAGAGAAGAGAGTATATAATCTTAGTATGTCAGAGCTGAGCAGAAAATGGCACTGTGACCTGAATAGGCCTTTCAGAAATGGGCACCAGCACAGAGAGCACACAGGAGGGCTGTGTTGTCTAATCAGGCTCTTCTGCAGGTCTGTGTGTCGTGGCGGTGACGTCACTCAGAAACTCAGTGCTGGAGCGAGGAGAAGCTCGGACAGAGGTGGCCCTGAGCAGCCTGCAGCACTAGCTGCTCTTTGGCGTGTGGTCACGGTCACACAAGAAGGTCACGGTCGCAAGTTCTTCATGGTTTCTGTCCTCCGGAAAAAACAGCCTGGGGTCCCGTCTAGACTGAAGCATCATCGCAGGTGGTCGTGAATGTCTTTAATGACTCAGACTTGAGAATGTCCGTGCCTCCTGCCTGCCCCTTACTAAGCGTCACCCTCAGCCCTGGCTCTTGTGGGGAGCCCAGGGAAGTGGTCTTGTCTGATGGACTCTTCTTGGTATTCTTAGACTTCCTTTCTCTAACACACGTATTTCTCGTAAACAGAAATTAGGTCTAGAGGCTTTGAACATACCCAGGCAAAACACCCTTGCGACAATATTAATACTTCCTGGGTACTTCATGTCACATCATGTTAGCGGCCTCTGTGCTCAGGTTATTTATCAGTATCTCTGCGGGTTTTTTTTTTTTTTTTTTTAGTTTATGTGGAGGAATGATTAAATATAAACCGACAGTAGCCACATCTTGTGAATATTCTCGTTTTCTCTTTGGGGCAGTTGACTAAGATAACGCGAACTGGCCCTTCTGCTTGGGAGACCAAAAAGATTCTGGCAGTTTCTTTTGCTCCTCTGGTCCAGCCCTGTCATTCGGAGTCTGGAAAATCAAGACTTGTCCAGTTACGTAAGTACAAAAACCCTTGCTTATCTTTTGGATCTTTAAAAAAATCTCATTAGAATTTGAAGAGAGAGACAAATTGTAAGGAGCCTTTTAATATTTAGGAACATTTTTCTACCCACTGAAACCTTAAAATGTTACAAATGGTTTTTAGACATTAAGAAAAGTAATAATCTGTTTTCAGCCCATTTTAGGTTGTTTTTGCCTTCTTTTAAATCTCCGGGAATTCTTGCTGGCCACGCCATTGAAGGCGGGAGGCTCTCTTGAGAAGGAGTTAGTTCTGCTCTGTGGCGAAGTCTCACAGAGACAGCGTGTTGCCAGCACCGCTGGGCCAGGGGCTCTTGCAGAGTCACGGGACCCCTCCCTCCTTGGGGCTGCCTCATGGGCACACGCTTCAGGCGGTCTGCTGCCTGGTGGTGGGAGGCTTGCCATGGAGATTGATTTGGCTAGCCCTCTGTCTTCAGCTCCTTCAGGATGTGGAATCAGAAAGTGCTGACATCAGGGCCAGCATTATCCATATACTGTTTTATAATTTAAACAGAAATTTACACAGCAATGAGAATCCTAGTGATTTTATTTAAAATAAAACCATTCAGCATGGATTCTGCATTCTGATCATTTAGAAAATTTGGAAAATGCACAAAAAAAGGGGAAAAAAATAACCGTAATCTCAAATCCAAAGATGATACATGTTAGCAAATTCCTTCCAGAAATTTTTTTTCTTAAATTTGTGAGGAATCATTTATCAGATAGTCATGCACTGCCTTGGTCTCTGCTAAGTGGAGGTCACCTGCCATAGACATGGTCCTTGAAATGTGGTAATGAGCAGCAGTACAATACAGAAAGGGGCTGAGAGGGGCTGGGGAGGGTTTGACAGAGGATGGGACATTTTGGGTGAGAGTGAATTCTCTGAGGAGAGGAGAAAGGGAGAAAAAGCATGAGCAGAGGCTGATGGGGACTTTCTACATGCAGGCCCCTCGGCATGGTCCGAGTGGGAGAAACTAGTCCACTGCGTGAGTTAGACTTGTCCTGGAGGCCGTGGGAGCCACCGTGTGTGTGAACTAAAAGATGGGGTGCTTCTGTCTTCTCGACGACCCTGGTGGCCCGGCGAAGGCTGAGTTTGTCATGTGCGTGCGCCCTGGGAATCTCCCCCGGAGATGCTGGCGTTACGCACAGGCAGCTAGGGCACGGCCTTCCGCAGCGCGGCCCGAGTGTCGGAAGGTGAGGTGTCGTCGATGCGTCTGCGAGGCTTCTCGGGGGTTTGGTTGAAGACAAGTTTTGTAGCGTGAGGGCTTGACCGGGTCTGGGTAAGAACTGCGACAGCATGGAGCGTACCCCAAGAGGCTGGTTTTGAGACCAGAGCTTTGGAGCGAACGCTGGCTGATAAATAGCCGGGTGAAGTTTTGGGCTCCGGAAGGAACAGTTATTTGCAACTTTGTCTTCCTGGGCCAGAGTTTTCTAAAGTAGCGAAGGTGTTTCCGTGGAGACGGCGGCCTCTGAAGCTGAAGGGATTCGGGGGCAGGTACATAGGGTGTTTCTGAGGAAAGACGTGGGCCTCGAGGTGTCCAGCATCTCTTGTGGATGTGGGTCTGGGGGGTGCTCGGGACCCCGGCCAGGAGTGGAGCAGAGCCCTGGGAGCCACTGCCCAGTCTTTGTTCCTTGAACCATAGCATGGATGTCAAACCAGGGATTGAGAGGCACATAGAGTGGGGGAAATGGTAGAAATCAGCCCCTGAGGGAACACTGCTGGCCGTGGTGGAGAAGGGGCTGGCAGGAGAGACTTGGGCTAAGTTGGTTCCCTTCAAGCGGGACCTGGGGGTGAGCCAGAGAAGGAGTCCGTTGAGCGGACTGAAGGGAAAGGCAAGGCAAGGTGGGCGTATTGAGCAGAAAGTCATGATTACGTGCGTGGGGAGCACTCCCGGGGCGCATGCTGGAGCCCATCCTGGACAACAGGGAGGAGACTGTTGAGTGGGAGAGGAGGCCTGGTGTGGACACGGGGAAGAAGGTGCTGAGAGCCTGGGCCTAGGGGCTTCCCCGGGGTTCCGTGGACCGGGCATTCACGGGATTCTGTGCGGGCCGCTCTGATTTGGGTAATAAATACTACAGACAACCTAAGAACCTTCCCTGTATTGTAGATCGTCACCTTTTGGGGAAGAATTTAGGTGCTGGAACCCCGCATCTTCCTCGCTCGCTCCCCTGCTGTGATCTCTTTCTCTGTCACATAAATAAATAAAATCTTAAAAAAAAGAGTTAGGTCCTGGAGGGAAAGAAGTGGTGGTGGCTTTCAGTGTACTGTATTTGTTTATTATTTATTTATTTATTTATTTATTTATTTTTTAAAGATTTTATTTATTTATTTGACAGAGAGAGATCACAAGTAGATGGAAAGGCAGGCAGAGAGAGAGAGAGAGGGAAGCAGGCTCCCCGCTGAGCAGAGAGCCCGATGCGGGACTCGATCCCAGGACCCCGAGATCATGACCTGAGCCGAAGGCAGCGGCTTAACCCACTGAGCCACCCAGGCTCCCCAGTGTACTGTATTTAAACGCACGACCCTTAATCCCTCCCCCTTTGAGAGAAAAGCTCTCCTGTAGCCATATGCGTGCCGCCTGCATTAACCGGAGCTGGACTTCGATTACCTCATTCTGTGTCTCCTCGGGGTGCGCTGGGGTTTCTGTACCTACTTAGATTTGCTTTTCTCTATTAAGAAAGGAACAGACACTCAATTTGTAAAGTACCGTGAAAATGTAAAGATCGATAAAAGAATTCTGGAGCCCCACATTGACTGTGTTCCACTAGATGAGAAAGAACCCAGGAATGAATACAGTAAACAGAGTCACGAACCCAGGGTTTTCTTCTGCCTCTCACTGATGACACAGACGACCTTGCTTCCTTCACGTACCGGAGTTCGGGGCGGTGCGTTTGGAAGGGCCACGTGCGTGCGTGACAGCGGGTGTGGGTGACCGCGGGGGGACGGTTTTCCAGAGTTAGGGCTCTGTGCTGTCTGGGTGCCTCGCAGACCAGGCTGACGCGTCTCCCTCTTTGCCCGCAGCGCCGCTGGCCGTGCGGAGCCTCCAGGACCTGGCTCGAATCGCCATCCGTGGCGCCATTAAGAAGGTCATGCGACAGGAGACCGTGAGCGGCAGCGGAAACGGACTGAAGAGCACTCCCCGGGCCAAGCGGCGGAGGGTGCGCCGCCGTCGCATGGAGACCATCGTCTTTTTGGACAAGGAGGTATTTGCCAGTCGGATCTCCAGCCCCTCCGACGACAACAGCTGTGAGGACTTGGAAGAGGAGCAGCGTCGCGAGGAGGACAGAGCCGCGCCCGAGGCGAAGCCGGCCCCGCCCGTGAACTTCCTGCGCGAGAAGGTCCTGAGCCTCCCTCTGCCAGACCCCCTGAAATACTACCTGCTCTATTACCGGGAGAAGTAAGTCTGTGGGCCCCGGAGGAGGTGCAGCCCGAGGCTGCCCTCCCACCCCCACCCGGGCCCTCGCGGGGTCGCCGGGCTCACGCCGTGGGGAAGGCGAGTGCCGTCCTCTCCACGCTTCTGTGTTCAGTTTGTTCTCGGGTTTCCTCTAGAATTCCATTCGTCGCTATCATTTCAGCAAACGTAGTCTTTTGACAAGCAGAGTGCATAGGGGAATGTTTTCTCCAAAGGCAGAGAATCTCCTGGAGAAGGGTGTTTGCTTTCTGCTCCGGCGAAGCTCTGACATCTGCACCCAGAGACGTGCCCGAGACACACATGTCGGCATTGCCCGTGAAGCAGGTAGTTGAAATTAACCGCGTTGCTCCTAAAATGTGTGAAAGAAAGCACAAGTTTGTAAGTGTGTAATCTCTTTCCCAGATGCGAGGCACCTGTGTCCAAGTTAGAACTTTATGGTACCAGCCTCTTGAGCACTGGCGCTGATCTCCACTAACCCTTTTAGTTTTCTGGAGGGGGACCGTTACTGAAAAACTCTCCCTTATTTTAAATAAATGTGATTAAATCTTACGTGAGTTGTCGATTGTAATTTTAAAGGAGGGAAATTGTCACGGGGGAGGAAGAATAAAAGTATCAAACTGCTAGATGTCTGTCTGGAATCCCAAAGTGATTCAGAATGTTTTCCTGACACCTTTTCTTACCTTCTGAAGAATGAGTGTCAGATAATCCCTTAGGGAATACTCAAGAATGAAGCAAGTATTGTGTACAATGAGCTCCATTACTTTTACCCCAAGGGTAGGGATGAGCGTTGACCCAACCCTTGAGTACGCTAGTGGGTGTCTAAGGCATGGCCGTGCTCAGTCCTCAAAACAGGGGGAAGTGTTTAAGCTGCAGGAAGTATAGTGGGGACAGTGTTACCGACAGCCTCTGTTTTTTTTTTTTTTTTTTTTTTTTTAATCATCAGTTGCCTATTTTTCTGTAATCATATAGGTTTTGTCTTTTATAACTCTGGGGGAAAAGACGTGTTAGTTTTCTAATTTTTCTTAATAGCAAATATGTGTATTTTAGTAGCTCCATTGCATTAAAGGAATGGTCTGAGCACCAGTGACTTGTGAAATCTACCTTCTCCAGGCCCTTTGGGTCGAGCGCTTTCCGTCGTTACCAAGTTCTGCGTCTAGAAGGAAAGGCCGTCCTGTCAGATGGTAGAATGTTTTCAAGTTATTGGTCATTCCAAAGCATCAGTTCTTTTCAAACTTATTTTTGTTCTGAAAGAAAAGAATGGCATAAAATGTTATCAAGAAACCCAAACTCAAGAGTGCTGATGTTGGATGTGTCGTCTGGAGTTAATGACTAGTTTTATCCCTGGGCTTCTTGGGTGTCAGAAACCTCTTTGTGGTTTCACCAGCTGAACTGAGTTCTGGTAGTGTGTTTCTTTATTTAATTTCTTCTTCTTCTTCTTCTTCTTTTTTTTTGTTTTTTTTTTTAAACTTTTCTAGGTAACTGTATCATTTTTTTCACAGGATACTGTGTGCATGCGTAGCTGGGGAAAAGTGTGTTGCCCTAGATTTGAAAATGTAACTCTTTGTAAAGACAGTTACTTCATAGTCGTTTTTAACCTGGCATTTAACTGAAGGTCAAGCATCCTCGTCTCAGAGGCGCGTGGTTTACGTTCGCTTGCGGTCACTTCCTAGCGTGCACATCTCTGCCGACATCATTCTAATTGATACGTAGCAGTCTCTGCAAGCACGGACATTTGAAGCATAATGTCAAATACACGGTATTTGTGAAATCTGTTACACTAGGTGGCTTGACTAAGGTTTTTAATTGTATGTGATTTTATTTTTTTTTAAACCACATTTTCCTTTATGGTAGACTGTAAAAACTTCATAATGCATAAGACATGTTTTTCCCTACATATGTCAAACCTTTCTTAACATTTGTGTTTGTGTTTACATGTTGTCAGTTTGTGATGTTTAAACCAGAATTTGGTTAAAAGTATATGTAGATATAAATATGTGAGATAGTTTGGTGTTTATCTTACACACCTAGAGAAGAATTGTAAATGGGTTTTCCTGGGCTAAAGTGTTCCTCACCAGAGCCCACGACAACGCACTCCTGCTGTCTGCTTCCCGACAGATGGATTGTGCATTACCTGTAGCCTCTGTACTGTAACCTGCATTCTAGACAACTTGACTTGTGTGTTTTGAGGAATGTGTATTTCTGTATGTGATCTTCGTCTTGAAAGTAGGAAAGCCATAGACATGTGCACTGGAAATAGCAAATGTACTAATACCGAGTACGTAATGTAGACACCGACTGTGTGTGTAACGGTGCTTCCGCAAGTCTGGACCTTTCAGGGAATCAATGCCAGAAACTTCTAACAGCAATTTTAGTGAGCGGATATACATTGGGTGAACACAGAGGACGTCAGTAAATATAGTTACGGCACTTGGGCCTCTTGGCATGGCTTGTGTTTCCTGCGTGGGATTGAAATTCTTGAGTACATATTTTCCAAAAATCTTCAAAAATAAACTTTTTCTTTATTACAAGCAAGTGTTTTCTCTCACTGTGTTATTACCTCATTCCGTACCATGCTAATACACTTCGGGAAGACATCGTTATTTTTTTCTAAAGATTTATGTATTAGAGCTTGGGCATGTGCACAGGTCAGGGGAAAGGTAGACGGAGAGGGAGAGAGTCCCTCAGACTGTGTGCTGAGCACAGAGCCTGATGCGGGGCTCGATTCCACAACCACAAGATCACAACCCCAGCAAAACCCAGAGTCGGGTGCTTAACCGATTGCATCACCCAGTTGGCATTATTTTTAGCTAAACACACTTGGTTTGGCAAAACAGAGAAGTGGTAGCTCAGGCTCCAGGAAAGAATACGTGTCTGTCGTTAGTTTTGGGCACAATTTTTCCGTTTCGTGAAAATACTAAAAGATAATTAGGCAACAGTAACGTCTTTCGTGGTAGCAAGGGATGAGAGTTAGGGTTCAGGTTGGGTTCGGGCAGTCAGGCACCAGGTGCCAGGGCCATGCTTTAGGATTGGGGCCTAGGCCCAGGGTCAGGGTGAGGGCCAGAGATCAGAAGTAAGGGCCCAGGATTGAGGGACAAAGTTAGGGATAGTGTTTGGGGTCAGACTGGTTGCTGATTGTTGCAGCCCATCCCGACTGCTAAGGCAAAACGGCTGCATTTTGGGTGGCTTGTGAGCAGAAATTCATTTCTCATAGTTGCTGAGGCTGGAAGTCTGAGCTGAGGGTGCTGACATGATCGGCCGAGGGCCCTCTTGGTCGCGGCGTGTTCCTCGTGTTCATAGGTAGGGAATAGCTTAGGGTGTCTATGGGGGAAGTAATCCCCTTTGTGAGGACTCCACCCTTACCACCTAATCAGCTCCCAAAGGCGCCCTGTTCCAGCATCATCACGTCTGGCATTGGGATTCGAACATGTGAACCTGGGGGGAAAACAGACATTCAGACTATAGCACTGGACCTTTTTTGTATTAACCTTTACTTTTTAATAAATCCCTATATTTTCCCAAAGTACCGGAATGATGGGCTCTATTTCAATTGGAACTTGCTAATTATGGCACTGAAGAACCAGAATCCTGAATTCCCGAGATTCACTGGATGTTCCCCGAGGGTCTAAACTGTGAGTGGGATGTGTTCTGTGCTGCAGCCCCGTGGGCGGCAGGGTGTCCCCTACCTGGCTCTCCAACCTGAGGGAGAGCGTGCGTATCCTGGCCTCGGAGTCAGCCCCACACCTCGACGAGGACGTGAGTGGGCTTGAAGGTACACCTGCAGCTTCTGGGCTGCAGCTTGGGGGCACTGAGGACAAAGCTAGGAGATGGCTTCCGTTGATATCCCCAGTGAACTTTAGCTTAGAACAGCCCTCCCCAGCGTCCTCCTAAAACCTAGTAAAAGCTGACTTTCACTTAGTCTCTTGGAATGTTCCTGTGGTTCACCATAGCTCACTCGTCCCAGACTGCAATTCTGCTATTCCCAAATAAACTCACTTTACTGCTAACATAGCTGGTATTTTACCTTTACATTAAGAGTTTTTAGGGGCGCCTGGGTGGCTCAGTGGGTTGGGCCTCTGCCTTGGGCTCAGGTCATGATCTCAGGGTCCTGGGATCGAGTCCCACATCGAGTCCCACATCTCTGCTCAGCAGGGAGCCTGCTTCCCCCTCTCTCTGCCTGTCTCTCTGCCTACTTGTGGTCTCTCTCTCTCTCTGTCAAATGAATGAATAAAATCTTAAAAAAAAAGTTTTTATGTGGAACTGTCTGTATGCATATTAAGCTGAAGAGTTTATACAGGTGTCTCTAACCCAAATACCGTAATCTCCCTTCGCTCAGCGGTGACGTAGCACTCTTGCCGTGGCGGAGTGGGCTCTTATCATTTGTCACTTGCTCCATTCCGTAGCACAGACGTAAGCGCTTCAGCATCGTTGGCTACCGCCATCACGGGAAGGGACTTTATAAAACAGGGCCCACTGTTTATGTGACTTCAGTCTACACCTTCCGTTTCCGGAGCTGCTTAGGTCAGCACCTTGTGCCCCACCAGCTACAGTGAGTTTCTCCATACATTTCTAATATGGTTAGATTATCAGTCATATTCTGTATTCTATCCGGTGACATTCCACACCCTAAATAATTCAGTTTGAATAATTATGATGTGCTCTTAGGCTACAAAGAACCTGTGAGTTGTGACAAATGCATGGTGGTGGGTGTTCATCACTGGAGTATCGCATGGAGAACCTCAAACCCTAACCATGATCCATTTGTCACCTCTGTAGTTTTGCCTTTTCTAGAATGTCCTATAAATGGGGCCATGCAGCGTGTAGTCTTTTCAGACTGATTCTTTCACTTGGCAAAATGCGTGCAAGGTTCACCCATGTCTTGTACGGGTCGATGGTTCATTCCTTTCTACTGCTGAAGGGTAGTGCATGTATAGGTGACTAAAAATAATGTTTCCTTTATTCTTCTAGGTTCCTGGCTGAGACCACTTCTAGCAGTAAAAGGTGAACAGGAGAAGACAGAAGTTTAATAACGTGTACACATCTTGTGTACATGGGAGATACTCGGGAAAACTGACTAGC